AAACAAGAGCTGCAGTTCCCAGACCACTGCTGGGTTGAGGGGAGAAGGGGGTAAACAAAAACACAGTAAGAAATGCAGAGTGTGCTTGACTGCTTAGAGCCTTGGGCTAGAGCAGACAGTTATCTTCTTCCTACCCTTGCTTTCTAGTTAAATGTATCAAAGTACTATAAATTCAGACTCTGAAGGTTTGTACAAATGATAAAGTTATCCTTTTAGAGGCTCATTTTTCCTGTGCAGATCAACTCCTAGTAGTCTCAAATTCAGACACTCCTTAACATTACTTTAGGGAAGATACATCAACATTCCAGGAGACCAGCAATGTGTTTTGTCTTATTTTCATTAAAAAGCTGAGGGTTGGAGGGAAGTCAGGATGTGTGATCCTCAGGTCTGCAAATCCTGCTGGTTTTTCTTTTACTTTGCTGCAGTAATACTTACCCAAGGCTCTGTGTGTAGACAACTTTTTGTTGAACTCATGTGTCAGCATAAATGAATAAAATGTTATGTCTACTGATGGGCTTGTTATACCTGGTTTCCAGACCAGCTGCTTCCCGGAGCACCTCTGGGGTGACTGCGTCTGTGTTAAAGAAGTCCTTGATGCTTTGCAGAAGTTCTGCCCTTCGGGGGTCAGGCAGGCCATCTGCATTCAGCAGGGCTCGGGCCCCTGAGCGCACTTGCCTGCGCAGAGGGTCCTCCAGCAGACGCACGCCTTCTTCAGAGCCAATGGGTGCCCCAAACTCCTCAGCCAGCTGCTGCTTGAGATGGTTGTCATAGTAATTGGAGATGGCATGGCAGGATGTGCAGAGTAAGAGCACATCATGGGAGTTGTGGTCCTTCATCTGGATGGGGAAGTGTCTTCGGTATTCGTGAGGAACTATGTTCTTCCTAGGGAAGACAAACCAGCCAGCTCATTACATTTGCCTAGAGCTGCTACTCCCCAGTTCCTCCTCCTCCTGGCCCACAAAGGGTCAACTAATACTAGAAGTCCAGGAAAAGAAAGATCACCAGGGTCAGGACCCTCAGTGCAGCAACAGGTTCTGCAACTTCTTTTTATTTTTACTTCTCTCAACAGGTTTCTGCATTTGTCTTTTTTCCTTCCAAAAATTCATTGCTTTCAATACCAAAAAAAAAAAAAAAAAAAAAGAAAAGTGATTTATACTGTTAAAAAAAAAAAAAAGCAATGCACTATGAGAAGCATACCTCTCAGCTACACAGCAGCAAGCTGCAAAGACAAAAATATTACCCTTTGTGACCTCATGGGTGGCTTCAGGCTCACCTAAACCTTTCAAAACTATAAGGATTAAGTAGTGGAAGGAATAGTACAGCTATTTGCAGAAGGGGATGCCATCACAACAGTGTGTGTTGGCATACTGCTGCCCCCTGTCATTCAAACTGCAGCACATACATGTTCCGTAAGTTTTGTTCTTTCCAAGGACCAATAACTCCTGCCTGTGGAAGAAGAGGGAAGGTCAGCCTGTTCGGTGTCAAACTTACTCAGACACGTATGACTACAGAGCATTCAAACAGTGATAGCCCATCCAGGATGTGAACAAACATGATGTTTCAGGCTACTAACCAAGCTTCTGGATGCCAAACTAGATGCAGACCTCAGTCCTGTTTTAAAAGATGCATTTTCCTCCTATCCCACTAAACTCACCGGATATAGGACTCTCGCTTGCCACATACAACACACAGGTTCTCTTTGACTGTCAGATAATAATCAACTTGAGACTCGGGACGTCCTGAAGGCTCAAACCGCAGCTTCACCACAAATGGGTCTGTGCTAACTAGCTCTGAAAGAGTAAAGGCAAGTAGAGAATATTCAAGACAAATTTGTATTTGAAAGCTAAAATAACAATGCTAAACATAGTAGTCATCCTAGTGAATCCTCAACAGTATTTCCAATAAGGAAGAATAAAAAAAAAAAAAAAAAAGCAAAGTTATCTAAGAAACAAGGCAAAAAACCCAAAAAGTGCTGTATTTCAAATACCAACAGGAAAATCGGTATCCTCACCTCCAATCCCCTTGTCCAGGTACCACTGAGCCTTCTTGCGATCACAAGTGCACAGGGGCTGTCCATCTGGTGCATGCAGGAAGCAGTTGTCATACAGTGGAGATTTTCTGTGAAACAAGGGCAGCATTGCAGTAACCACAATAGCATGCCAAAAAAACAGAGCTCTCTATAGCCATGTGTTCCACATTGCAATTCACGCAGCCTCCTCCAAATCACAGGAGTGCCCTTAAACACACACTTAAAGCTGCTGAGCACTGCACAGGCTGCTGCTAAGGGAAGCAGAACATCTGAAAACTTACCTGGGGCTCACCAGCTGACTGTAAGTTATCTTTGCTCTCTTGCTGCCAATAGAACTGTAACTCTGAATGCCAGTTTTTAAGAGATGCCATCAATGATGGCAGCATTTGAAAAAAAAAAAATTACATTAGAAAAAAAACAAAAGAGAATGGCAGTCAAGAAGGATGATGAGCTATGAGTAAGCTAAAAGAGTGTCAACTTACAGGCAAGGCAATTTCAAGGATCAGTTGCCTAAGCCCGTATTTTAATTGTTTATTAAGATGACTTTTCTAAAACTTAGTGTGAACAGCAATTACTTCATTCATCCAAGAGAAATACTACAAAAAAGCTCTTGGAACACTGGGAACCCAAGTGAGTCCATGGGAACAATGGAGTTGAGCTGAGGCCCTGTGAAACACAAGGGCCTAACCATAGTCAGCGGCGAAAAGTCCTGCTTGAGCGGGGTCTGGCAGTTTGTGGCAGCGTGTGGAAGGGCTCTGTTTTGCAGAAAACATTTCCATACTCTGCCAACCTCCTTCAAACAAAACTGAAGAGCAGAGCAGGCTGGGCTCGGAGAGCACCTGGGAGGAACTGGCCAGGGATACAGACATGTCACAATGCACTGTGGAAAAGTATCCTTTCTTTCCAGGAAGATCATATCAGTAAGCACTCAGCAGAGCTCTACCAGGTAAAAAGGTTGATTCACAGGCTATGCAATCTGACAAAAGGATTTCTTCCGAGGTCCATGGAGGAAAAAAACCCAATGAAATAATAATGATACAGGAGGTCTCCTTCCACTGACCATCAGCAGTTCAGCTCAATCACCATGATAATTTGAGTACTTCCCAACTCTACATGAATACACTTTAAAACTAAATAGGCTTAAAGAAAGGAAGAATGGAAAAGGACTTTTAAAGTCACATCCAGTCTTACTATAGATCAGAGCCAGACTGCTGGAGATATTTTAAAAAACAGTGAGTATACAGATCTCTTATGAAATCAAGTGCAGTTAAAAACAATAAACAGACAAACATGGGGTGATCTCAGTTTAGCTTTGAATGCAATTTTGTTTAAATTTTAATCCTCCCATGAGGTGCAGTCCTTCTGTTCTGTACGACACAGGCTCCAACTGAAAAAAAAAAACCATCTGAAGGGATTTGCTGTGTACAACACATTACTGTTAATGACTGCTAATGAAATCAATATTATTGACTGCATTAAAATGTCTTCATTGCCGGTCCAATAAACTTGAAAAGGAGAAAACAAATACTAAAAGACTGGTTTTCTTTCCAAATGGTAATTACAGACAATTTTATTTCCTACATCCATGTGATTAATTTTATTAGACTGTGTCCAGACAAAACCAAACATACTAGCTCTTCACGTCTTCCGCTGCACTGAACTGAAAGACTCTTCTCCATCTTGTTTGAATTTAAAACCAACCAAACTTTCATTAGCAAAAGGCCGTAAGAATTTAGGATTTGCTTCACAAAAAAAATCACCTGAGGGACGGGGATCCTGAATCCAGCAACAGCTGCCCCTGCAAGGCCAAAGTAGTACTGTTCCCTCCTCTCTCTCCCTGGACAACACAAGAAGTGAAATGCTCTGACAGCTGTCACAGACTGCTCCTTCCTGTGCCCTCTGACAAAACCTCTCATCCCTCCTACCCTTAGCTTTCAGCTCTGCTCAGTACCCCGACATCTCTGTGGCCAGTGACCTAGTGCAGTACAGTAAAAACAGCAGTCCACGAGGTAGATCCTGCTCACAGGACAAGCTCTAAGCAGTTGCCACCTTCTCCCTGAAGGAGATGGGACGCAGCTGCTTGGGCAGTAAATGCTACCCAGACAGCCAACCGCCTCCTGCTGGGACTCTGCTCTCCAGCTAATACTTCCATAGGAGAAGGAAGGGCAGAAGCTGAAGCCAACCCCTCAACCTGTTCACAACATAGTACAGATCCAAGTGCTGCCCCCACTTTCAATACTGCTAGAGGGAAATGGGGAAAACAGAAGGAGGATCTGGCTCCCATGACTGTTAGGTCCTGCATTTCCTTTCCTAGCTCCTATTATCTGCTTTGTTTAACAAGTAGAGCATGAGGCATCATTCAAAGTTTTCCATCCGTACCACAAGGAGTAAAACATGTTCATAGACTTACCTTGCGGAATATCCCACACCCAGAGGCTTTCGCTTCTGTCTCCGAGGATCTCTCACTTGCTGACTGCCAGAGGGCTGGCCATTCACCGAAGATTTCCGATTCTTTGTTTTCTGAGGGGAGCGTCCCTCTCCACTCTTCTCCTCTCCGGTGCTGCCACTCCTTCTTCCTCTAAATGGGATATCCACCAAGCCCCGGCATTTACCCAGTGCTTTTTCCCAAGCAGCGACAGAGTTTTCACTATCAGATGTAGCAGGGAGGCTGGCAAATCCCAGCAAATGGAGGAACAGAGCCACTGAGACCTGGGCATCCCGAGCAGCATAGAGAACCTGCAGAAAAGCGTAGACATCAAGATACTGACAAACAGCAAACACTCCCAAACATTATCAGTCTTTAACACTTGGTACAGTAAAGCCAGAAGCTGGATTTATTTCCTTCTGAAGTTCATGCAAAGTTCTGGCATTTGAGTGACACTTTCATAATATCACCACACCCCAGATTTTTAGGATCAGTCAGACTTGAAATACTCACAGGTGCCCCCAGGAACCACAAGGGACTGAAAAAATTCAGGTCAGCCAAGTCTCAAACACCCTCCTGCCCCACCAAGCCCTCCCTAATTAAAAAAAAAGCTCCCTTTTTATACACTGTCTACACCTAGTCAGTGCAATTATCTATCCTGTCACTCCCTCTACTGTTCACTGATTTTGTACACATCTGCAGCATGACCGCAAAGAATGTGAGCAATCACGGAAATCCTAACGATCTAAAGATGGTGAACAAGGTTTCCAGGGTCTCCCTCTTACATTGTACTGACTGCTATAGATTGGGGGAAAGATAATAATAAAAAGGTGATGTTTGGGGCACACAATCACTTCTTCAAGGGATATTGCCTTATAGATCTTTCAGGATTAAAGGAAAATAAGGGTCAAGAATCCAGGGAGAGTACAGAAAATTATCTTAATGGAAAAGGAGCAAAAAGCAGGCACAGAGTCTGAAATTAACTTCCAACCGTAGTCACACACAAGGTTTTGAGGCAAAAGTCGAAGAAAGCATAGATCTCCCTATTGTAATACCAAGAAGGTTGCTTTTCCTCCCAAAACACTTAAGTTGAAGTGGAAGACACACCTGATCTTGTGTCAGTTCTTCTGCCTCCCAGTTGCTGCAACGCACATGAGGAGACTTGTCAAGCGGGCAGTTCAGGACTTTTTCAGCTAAAGACTTAAGGCTAAGGCAGTTGTGAAGTAGATCCTTCCTTCAGTTTAACAAAGAAAGTGAAACAAGCATATTAAAACCAAAACTATACACCCATGCAAATTTGGATGGCCTCACACACCCTGAACCTGCCAGAACACAATGCACATGGTGCATGACTCCCATTCAAACAGCACACAGCTGCATGTCAGCTTTACAGGCCCTCTCCCTCCCCTCCACTAAAACGCCCTTTCTAGATTTAGTAATTATCAGGTGCCTGCAATATGCAAAACAGGCAAGGCTGGGTGTTGGTAACATTTAAGGCTTGAGTGTTTGGCTCTGAACTACACACTTCTGAACTAAAGAGGTCTATCCCAGTGATGGACCGCCTGCTGCAGGGATTCATGAGGAGCATGAGAGCCAGGAATGACTCAGAGGAATCCTGGCCACTAGAGACAATTAGTGCATCCTCATTGACAAAAAGGCACCATCAGGTCAGCAAATCTATACCCCGGATCACTAACAATGCACCCAGGCATACATATACTGTATGTGAAGAATATTCCCAAGTAAAACATTTTATTTTAGGATGAATGAAGGATGAGAAAATGGCATCTTAATTAAAACCCTTTAATGGAAGCACTGTTATTGGAAGAGAAAATTAGAGATGGTGCATTTTAGTTGTTTTTCAAGAAGTCCTGTAATTCAACAGTTCCACTTACGTGCCCCTGGCACATTTACCCCATACTTCTATACCGTGTATTCAAACATCTGTTGTCATGGTAATCACTCTCACTGCGCTACATCACCATGCCTGAACTTCTTGCAAGCTGAAGCATGATACCCAGAAAAGTCCATATGGGTATTTGCGTGAAATCTTCACGAAGATTTAATTTCCATTAAGACCATAAAACAGAAGCATGACATATTCTTGGACTGCAGCTGTCAATGCCCATGCTCTAAAACCACGCTGAGAACTCCAGACCTACCTGCCTGGTATCATTCAGCATGTCCAAATTACTTATTCATTCCAACTCAAATGATGCCTCCAACAGAGCTGCCTCTGTCTTCAGGCACTCACCTCTGCCTCATGGCTAAATACCGGAGATCCACGCTCCCTTTGACTGGAAGACCATAATCATGAAGTAACTTGCAAGCATCTTCCCAGCACCCTACCCCAACTTTCAACACAGCACTGTCTGCCATGATGTCCAACAGGGTCTTTGGGATAGTCTGTCCACTGGCAACAAGCCTGGGCAACCGAACAAGAATGCAGAGGCCACTGGAAGAAGCCATCTGCAGGAGGGATACAGGACTTGCTTTTCCCTCCACAGATACCTGAAATAAAGACAAAAATCAGAGTCTGGGTTACAGTATCATTAGCAATGCCAGAGTTGGGACAAATTGCAAAAGAGGCCACTGAAGACAGGAAATACCTATCGGTTTATACAGTCAAGTAGTGTTACATGTTTCTAAAATTTTACTGCAAATTACGTGATTTGTTTCACAGCATTACTGTCCCCAAGCTACCTCTTGCCACACTCCTACAAGAGAAACTTTCCCCCTTTCACCCTTTCCCCTCATAGCTGAGCTGGTAGAATAGAACAGACACATTTCTTAATCCACATTAGCACAAAAGCCACCCACTACATAAATGTTTACGGCAAACACGTCGTTTAACTGTGGCTTATAGTAATGGTTGTGGGGTGAATAAATTTCCAGCCAAAATAATGGCAAAGCCAGGCTTCATAAATGACTCAAAGCCTATTTTGAGAGTTCACATAGGCAAACGTACAAGCGGAAGAGGAACTTTGCTTTCTGGTAGTCCCAGTGAGTTATGTCTATATATCAGTATTATCCTCCTTTTTGGAATTTATAATTCTTAAGAAATTGTTTCTTAAGTATGTAGCTGGATTTAGAATAGTGTAAACCCAAGCTACTTCTAGCACATCACCTTCAAAGATATTTTATACAAAACACATAGTGCTATATTCAGCCAGTTATCGCTACGCTTAGTCTAGCTGATTTATCACAGGGGTTCAGTAAACGAATACAACTAGTGAATTAAAAACTTAGAGTCAGCACACTTAAACGTGCGAACAATCAAAATTAGCAGCTACTTCACTGCTGTCATGACAGATAATCGCACAGGCCGTTTTAATAGTCAGTCCGGTTGTATCCATTTAAGCAAAGGAATCACTCCACCCTCAATGATTTCCCGTTGCAACATGCAATCTAAAGGAGAGGCGCTTCTTGATCACTCACCCACTCACAATCAATGCCAAGCACTGGCCACTTCTCCAGCTCCTTCTTCAGCAAAGGTTCAGCACGATCCCACTCCTCCTGCTCTGAAACTATCACTATGTCTGCACCAAGGGTCCTCTCTACCCAGGAAAAGGTGGGACATCTGAAGAAGGAAAGCACCTCCTTATCCTCTGCCTTAATCAGTTTCTCATCTCCTGAGTTTACAACTGCTTCCTCTCGCTGACTACTACAGCATGCTTTTCCTTTCCGACGCTGGGTTGCCTTCCACAAAACCAGGCCCCCCACTGCAATACCCAGCAGGGTCGCCAAAGTAATCGTCACTGCTGTTTGCTTGGGCATTTTTTTTTTTTATCCCCTTTTTCCCCCCTTCACTTCACCCACTCAAAATGGCATTGTAGGATTTTGTCATGGCCTGCAAAGAAAAATGAGAGAGGTGGAAATTAAATACAACTTAGTGAAATGTGTTTAGAGGTATTAAATACACCCACTGGTATCATAACAAGGTTCCAGCCACAACTCAAACTCACAATCCTGACAGGAAAAGGACCGTGTCCCACTTTGATAGACTGGGGATGAAGGGACAGACTGCTGCAGTGGTGGATGGAGCAGTAACAGGAGACTGAATGCTGCTGTTGATCACACCACCAAAAACCTTAAACGGAATCCATTGATTTATGCTGGTGTAACTGGATCCTTCCACAAACTCTGATGTTCCAAAAAGAAACTAGTCAGGGGCTATTATCAACATCTTTCAGCTCAGTGTGGAACCAGATCAACCTAAGCAAGGACAAGACAAAATTACTGCAGAATAAGCATGCCCATTCATGCATTAATAAATAACAGGCATTGTCTGTTACATTTACATCCACACTAAGGCCGAACGGCTCTTCAGGCATTGACAAGCCCTAAAGAAGCGGCATCTACAAATGACGAAGCTTTCCCTCCATCATACAAAAGCTTGCCTCCCCTTCAGCACACTGAAACCAATCCTGCCCCCGCACCTCCATCTCCCCAAACCCACCACGTTATTTGTAAAGGCCTGCCCTTATGCGCGCTTCGACAGGAGCGGAGGCCGCACCGCCGGCGGTGCCGCGGCCCCAACAGCACGCA